GAAGATTAGGGTAGGTGTCCCTCTACTTGGGTTGCCTACTGTGATACTGTATTTGATTCCAGGGGCAGGAGCATGGCCTCTGTCCCACCCACTTTGATGGAAAGAGTGGCAAGGCCACATTGCCAAAGATTATATAGTCATTTGGGGAGAGACTAGCATAAAGCGAGTTTGTTTCCTCAAGGACTGTTTTCATGTTGTGTTGGGGTGGGGATTTGTGCTTTAAATTTCTGGATCATGAGGCTTCTGTCTTTCAATTTTTAAAACCAATGGATTTGTGTGTACATGTGTCTGCCACTGTACATGTGTGGAAGTCAGATACTCTGGTCCTCAAAGCTTGCAGCAGGTCCCTCAACTCAGCTGAGGTATTTTACCATCCTCTAAATTTTTAGTGCAACCTTTTTATGTATGGTGTATCTAATGCATACACATAAACAACACATACCATGTATAGACTTGCCTCCAGGCCAGTCTGATGGAGTCATTTTCTCAATCTCATTTTTTCTTTCCAAATGACTCAGGCTTGTATCAAGTTGAGAAAACTAACATGATCTACAGGCCAGTTTACAATTGACAGGCTTGGGTACGTAGGTACAGCATCTCAAGTAAGGGGTAACCACTATTTTAGATGTCTTTAAGTTGATGCAGAGAAATGTAGCATGGCTTCCAGAAGGCTTTGTTTCAGTATTAACCTCTTATTAACCATTTCCTAACTTGTCTCTGAGACTGCAGTACTTGCTTGGAATCCTGGGTTACTGTCGGAGACTCTTAAAGTAGTCAGATATGTAATACTCATGTTCAGATGTTTGTTTCCCTAGGAATGGTGATCAGATACAGCTTTTTGTAATGTTAAGTTATGAAGAAAGCCTAAAGCCTGTTCAATGGGAATTTCAGTCATGATTTTGTCAGTTTCCCCTGCTGGGAAGTCTATCTCCAAGGCAGTCTGGCACGGCTTCCAGAAGGCTCCATGTCAGCATTAGCCTCATTAACCATTCTTATCTTTGGAGCTCAGTGTCCTCACCTGTTCGATTGTTTGGGAGTAGGGTCATCTGGGAAACTTAAAACAGAACTAGAACCCCTGCAAGCCTCACAACTGGTAGGGAGAGATCCATATAGTGATTTATTATTTGTGTTTAATAAAGCTTTCCTGAAGATCAGAGCACAAAGCAGCCACACTAGTTAACCACACAGGCCAGGGAGTGGTGGCACACACCTTTAATCTCAGAACTCGGGAGACTGAGACAGATGGATCTCTGTGAGTTCAGTGCCACCCCGGGCTACACAAGATTGAATCTGTCTAAGAGGAACAGAGCTCATACAAAGGTGATCCTAGCATTTGAGATCACAAGGCTTTAATCCCGGCACTAGGGAAGTGGAGTTCTGTGGCTGGCCAGAGAGAGGAATATAAAGGGGAAGAGACAGGAACTCATTGGAGTGTGAAGGCTGTGGATTCATGGAGACAGGATCTCTCGCTTTTTCGGCCTAAAGATTTGGTAGAGGTAAAAGGTCTCTTGTGGTTGGCTATTTTGCTTTTCAGATCTTCAGCTTGAACAATATTTGTGTCTGAGTTTTTACTATTCATGCTACATTTAGCGCCCATTGTTTGGGGTATAAATTGACGAGAGTTGCCAATGTGGTAGCCTCTTCACATTGCTTACAACAAGCTAAAGTGCTGGAAACATCCATTAGCACTATGTGGCTGGGCTCTCGGGAGGCAGAGGCAGGCAGATACCTGTTTGAGGCTAGCCTGGTGTACAGAGCAAGTTGCAGGACAGCCAAGACTATGGAAAGAAACCCTGTCTTTAAGGGGGAAAAAAAGGTACTGTGTGACACAAATCATCCTTACAGAATAGTTACCTCTCTAGTCAGTTGCAGATGCCAGTAAAACAATCTCTTACAGTCCTCTTGATTTTTCTGCTAGCTATAATACACATTAAAAATAGGCTGCTGGATTGTTACCAGTTCAGTTTCAGATTGCAGCAGGCTATTAGTAGTTATGTTTTGGGGAAACAAGTGTCAGTACCCCTAACTTCAGTATTGTTGAAGAGTCAATTATATCTTCTCAGTTGTTCCCTAATGATATGCCATAGTAGTTTTGTAATTGATAATCTGTGCCCCTGTGAAAGACAACTTTGCAACTTGAGGTCAATAGACTTTTGCTCCCTGACAATGCTTTGGTCTTCAAAGAACTGTAGTCCTGTAAGATCAAACAACCGAGTGATGTGGTAGCCATCATAGTGCATACTCTCTGGTACTTGTCCAATGATAAAGTTGCCCAATGATGAGTATTTCAAATGATAATCCTATTAAGTGATGTATTGCTGTACTTAGAAAAATAACTCCAAAGTGAGTAGCAGTTTTAGGTGGGAGGTTGGGGAGAGTGTGAAAATGAATGAGTGACTTTATTCTGTTCAGGGAGGTGTAGAGCCTATCTCAGAGGAGAACAGTTAGCTCCTGCCTAGCAGAGGGTCCCTTTCTAATCCACAGGCTAGTGATACGTGGCAGCTCCATTGTAAAGCTAGGACGAGGAAGTGGGTGGGTGTTGGCTTCTATCGTGGAGGGCAAATGTGGGTCTAGACTCAGCTAAAGCAGTTCAGCTGCTGAAACAGCCACAGGAGGCAGTTTCCTAGTCCCGTCTTATCCTGGTTAGCCACACCTTCATGGATGTGACCATCTGGAACTCAGCCGCAGATGTTACCATGGGAGAAGGTGAGTCAGTAGCTCATGATACTCAGTTGATCAAAATCTTTCTGATCCAGAATTCTGAGACGTAGGCCCAGACATCTCCAGAGGATTGTCTTAAATATACTGAGGGGGCCAGTTTGGAATGTGGACACAGTGAGATCACTAGATATTGAAGGTATTAGTGTCTAGATGTGCATCTTAGCAGGACAGGACTCTCGGGGACAGTGATTGAATGTTCACTGCTATGGGACTGTAGTATGGAGATGCCATCTAGGTGACTCAGTGTGGAGGCAAGTGGACTTTGAGAAGTATCACAGTAGCAGTCACGCTCTGAAATGGAGTCCAGATCAGCCTCATTGAAAGATAGGACACTTGACCCATTAGCCTCCCCGACAAAGCATCAAAAATTAGATGAAAATGGGAGGCCCCGGGGGTCCTAATTCAGCTTGATCAACATGCTCCATGAGACAGAGGGAGCTTGGTCGGTTTTCCTTCCAGCACTCACACAGATTCGTAAGCATATCTAAACGGGCCATTAAATGCTTAACAGCATTTGAGGGCTCTTCAAACCCTAAGTCCTAAATGCTCAGTAGTCCTTCTGCAAGCCAGTTCCAAAGGTTGAAGACCTACACAGTCAAGTTTCTCAGAGTGATAGCCCCATTTCTCAGAACTGATTCACTTCTGCTGTGATGAAATGCTGTGGCAGAACCAACTTATGGGAGAAAGGACTTTATTTTGCTCACCATTCGAGCTTGCCATGGCCAGGAAGACATAGCATGTTCTCTAGGTGGCTTGTCACATTGCCTCTAGAGTCAGGAAGGAGGGAGAGATGACTGACAACACTCCTCCCTCTCCTATGTGTTTATCTGGCAGGGTAGATCATCATCCTTAGTTAACCTACTCTGGATCCCTTCCAGGCATGCCCTCAGGCTTGTCTTCTGACTCTGCATCCTGTCTAGGTGACAGTCAACATTAACCCTCACACATTGCTTTGCTAAGTCTGTGGCATCTGTTGTCTTCTCACTTTCAATGCCTCTGGCCTAGAATGAGTTTGGCCATTCAACCCACGAGACTGGAGCAGCTATTGGTGCCCTGGCTTCTGAATTTCGCGCTAAGCACCCCATCAATACATGTTACTGACCATAGTCCTAGCCACATCCTGTCCACTCTACCATCTGAGAACTCTGACACCTCCAGGTTTCTAGTAATAAAAGTAGCAAACTTCCTGAAAAGTACTTATGCTTTTGTCGCTAGTGTACATTAATAGTAGAGGTTTGTCCTCGACTCTTTCTGAGTCAGGCTCCGGGCTTGTCCTCTGGGAATGCTGGCATCTGGCTTCACGTGGACAGGGAGAGAATAGTTAACAGGGCAGATCTTGAGGACAGGCATCCTCTTGAGAGGGAATTTAGCAGATGAGGTAATGTAAACAAGAATAGGTTGCTACCACTGCCAGGGAGGCCTGCACATTTGGTGGTACACTCTTAGATTTGTCTGTTCTTCTCTAGTATCCCCACTCAACTCTCAAGGTCTCAGTGGTTTAAAGGTTGGTCGCCTATGAGAACTGACAAGGCTGTGATCCAATTTGACCATTATGCAATATGCCCAACTAGATTTTGGGCCTGATTTACAGTCAAGGAAACTATTAGAAATAAGAGATTCTTGTATCAACTCTCTAGTTCTCTGCTTGGCCTTGAAAGTAAGTCCTGAGCTTGTTTCTGTGAGCATTCAGTCGTGGCATTGTCCTTCTGATCATGCCACCATAAATGTCTGTATACAATTGGCTTTAAATTGTCTTCAGTGGGTGTAGTGGCTCATGTCTGTAATCCCAGCACTTAGATGAGGCAGAAGGATTGCCATGAGTTTGAGGCCAGCCTTGTCTATATAGCAAGATCTTGTCTCAACTTTCTCTCTCTCCATAAACCTTATCCTCAATAGCACTTTATAATAAATGAACTATAAGTCTACATATGATATGCATGCCACCAGCATCTCACTTCCACTGGCAATGAGGTCTTCACTGCACTCGAGATCAAAGGACAAGCAAACCCAGCCAAAAATAGACCTCTGGGTGTCTCTTTCCTGGGACAGTCCCAGATACCTGTTTTGGTTAGAGTCTCTAGGTATCCCAAGCAGAAAAGGTTCAGCTAGAAGTATGCTATGAGAGCAGCAGCCTCCTCTGTCACTGCCACCACCTCTTCGTAGGCTCACAGCAATGGGGCAGGCTGGCCAGGACCATAACTCCGGATACCATGCTCCAACGTAAGCCTGTGCTCTTTCTCAACAGCTTCCTCCCTCGGGTGGTTGGTCATGGTGACAAATGGTTGATTGACACACCTAGTATGAATGTTTTTCCTCAGAAAACAGACACAAAAGGACGAAGAACATGAAAATTCATAAAAATTGAAGTGCTACGACGAAGAAATTCGAAGAGATACGATGAAAGGACGCGGACTGACTGAGCAAGTCGAGGCCTGAGGGAAATGAGGTGCAGTCTGAGAAGTGTAGGTGCTACCTTGTGGCCAAGGAGTGCAAAGGCCCTTGGGCAATATCCAGTCTAGTGTCATGGAGCTGAAACACAGCGAGGTAGCAGGGGAGCGGAGGGAAGCCTGGCTAGGGGAAGCTCTTAATCTAGCTTTTTGTTTGGAGATGTATGAAGTAGAATTAGCAGGCCCATGGGGACTTGGAAGTGGGTACAGGGGAAAGAAACTTTGGGGACTTTCATGGTGAGCACACCTGAAAGGCAAGAGGGCTGGAAGTCCATCTATGGGTGTGGGCAGAAGCCATGGAGGCCAGTGTGCTTGGTCGTGAGTGGAGGCTCAGCAGCTGCCTGACAGAGCAGTTCTCCCAAGCCAGCTGAGAACTCAAGTGGGAGGCAACCAAGCTGAGTCTCCCATGCAGGCTGCTGGGCCACTCAAGAGTCCTGGGCACAGAGGCCCCAAGGCAGTGGTCGTACTCAAGGTCCCTGGGTGAGGTTTCTGTCTTGGAAACCTGGATAGTTCACACGTCCAGTGACCTGGTGTGTGTGTTTGTGTGTGTGTGTGTGTGTGTGTGTGTGTGTGTTAGACAGAAGAGAAAGAAAGGGGATGGGGCAGAGACAGAGGAAAGGAAGAAGAGAGAAATAGAGAGGTAAAGAGAAATAAAAAACAATTTCCTCCGTTCCTTTCCAGGGTCCAGCTGTTTGCTCGTTCAGGACTACAGGTCTGCTGAGCTTTCCCTCTCTCTCTCTCTCTCTCTCTCTCTCTCTCTCTCTCTCTCTGTCTCTCTCTCTCTCTGTGTGTGTGTGTGTGTGTGTGTGTGTGCATGCGCGCGTGTGCTTGTATGTGTGGGGGGCGGGCACGCTGTCCCAGGAGGACAGAGTTTGCATTGATGAAAACCCTTCCCAGTTCTTTGAAGCTCCTTTCCCTGCTGCCCGAGCCCAGCCGCTAGTCCTCTGTGTCCCACACACACACACTGCTCACTCCCAGCCAGGATGGCGTCTTGTCTGACCCTGCACATGGTGCTGCTGCTCATCTCTGGGGTCCTAGCCCCTGCGGTGCTCACAGGTAAGGGGCGCAGGCCCTGCTGCCACCAACTTCTCAGGGCCAGCAATTACCAGTGGGGATAGATTCTGCAGTATCTACAGGGCACAAGCCTCTCACAAGAGGCAGGGTGCCCACATGTGGTGATTCTGGGGGTGAGGGGGTCTCCACAATGCTGTCTGGTAGAAGTGGAATAAGATGATGTTTCAGGAAACTGTTAGCAGCCGGGATGGGTGACATTGACTTAGGAGGGCGACCAGGGTATCCGAGTCGAGGACATTCGGTTGTCTGGAGTTCTAGGGGATATTTTGTCACTAGGACAGCTGGATGTTTCTGGATCTGGGAGGCAGGAGGCCTCATCAGACAAAGGGCAAAAAGCTAAGAGGCCAGAGCCCCGGATGCTGAGCAGAAAAACTAGCGACTTGGAATTCCTTTAAAACCTGCAAACCCTTCCATGCTGGCTTACGACCTAGGTTCTGTTCCCATAGAGGTAAATAGCTCTCAGAGTCCTTTGCAGTACGGTGAGGGCATTGCACGGAGACCCAGATGGCTGCGTTGGGGGTCTGACGAGAGAGGCTGCATTGGCAGGGCTGTTCCAGGTCACCTTCAGAGCAGGGACTTAGGCACAGGTAGGCTTTGCTCTACATGGGAATAAATTGTCTGCAGTGGTTCAGTAGTCGGCGGACGGGCAGCCTGCCTCTGGGTTCCCCAACGGTTTCACAACATTGCAGCCTGAACTTCAGGGGTGTTTGCGGATCTCCAAAGGAGCGCAGTCACCTCCGTTGTGAAAACAGGGCCTGGGAACTCCCAGCCACAACCCAGGAGGCGCAGGTGATGGTGTTCTGGGGGCCTTTCTCTCCTCCTCACACCCTAGGAAGCAGCCTAAGGCCTGCTGGTCTCATACCTCTCCTGGCCCTTTTCCCATCTGCAGGGGTGGGGGGTGACACTCACTGCACTGCCTCCCTCACAGGGGCGTGGTGAGACCTCACCAGGTCTGATGTACAGGACTCTCAGGGTGGCCAAGCGCCAGCCTACAATCTGTCTTCAGAGTTTGAACAGGGTTCCCAGCCCCTCAGCTAAGCCCAAAGGGATCTTAGGGAAAGGCATCTCTTCTCACCGATTAGGACACACCTAGTTTTTTGGGGAGTGGATGCAGTGCCCAGGGCCGTGCCTGAGATACCCCTGATGTTGGGAGATGTGACTTACAGTGCCGGGAGGTATTTTCCATCACCTCGGACCCAGGGCTGAGACCCGTGCGTGCAGCTTCCTGCCACAGTGAGGCAGTTGCTTGGCAAAGCCCTGCAGCTCGGGCCGTCCTAGGGGCTCCTGCCCAGGTTCCCGCTGCCTCTTCCAGCTCAGACTTCTAGCCAGAGCCCCCGTCAGGCTGTGCTCACACAACTTTGGTAGGTGGGTTTTCTGCTCCCACAGAAGCTTTGGGAATCGTCAGGACCTCAGCTGACCTCACCTCCTTCTTCCTTCCACGGGTGCCCACCTCCAAGAAGAGGTAGGCCCACAGCAAGCATGGGAACGCCAATTGAGTCTTGGGGTTCTGACTGTTCTGGCAGCAGGGAGATAGGAGCCCTAGACCCACAGGTCTGAGCAGGTAATGTACAAGGTCCATAGCCCGTCTCTCTCTCCTGGGCTGTAGTCCTGGATCAGGAAAGAGGAGACGGCGTAGTCCTGGGGTTGAGGCCCAGGCCAGCCTGCCATCCTCCCTGCCTCAGCCGGTGGCCACAGCCACTAAGGTAGAGGAGCAGGCCAGGTTGAGCAGGCAGGAGGCCAGAGTGAGGATGAAAAGGCTCTTCATGGCTGCACAAAGGCCGTCTGTGAGCACGGGCGCCTGGCCTCAGGGCCTGTGGTCAGACTAACCGTTGAACAAACTTATTTACCGAAAAGTAGAGCAGCCTGGGATGGTGGGGCTAGGGGACAGCCTGAGATGTCCAAGCTTGTGGCGCTGACACCGTGCCTCCTCTGCCAGAACGGAAAGTCCTGTGGCATTGCTCACTCTTCTATGGTAGGTCTTCTTGTAGCCAAGATGGACAGACCCTCAGGAGTCTCCTGCCATGTCTCCCTTCCTTTATCCTCACTTGCTGTCACTCAGTCTACTCCCTCCACATCCTGCTCCTAGAGCCCAGGACTGGCCCCCCTCTTCTTCTCCTCATCGCCCCTCTCCTGCTGGCACATTGACCCCAGAGGTCCTGGCTTCCCTGGAGGACTTGGAGGGAGCCAGCTTGTTGCTCTCCCTTGCTGTTCCAAGTCTGGGGAACACCGAGTGTGTAGGAAAACAAGATAAAGCCTGGGTTATGGCCCACAGAAGGATCTCCTTCTTTGGTGGGCTAGGGCAAGCGCAGTCCCTGGCCAGGGAACAGGCACCACTTAGGCAAACTCGGCCTGATTGAAAGTCACAATCCTTGGGTAGCTTTCCTGGCATTGGTGGTAAGCTTTGGCCAGGATTGATGGGATAGAGAGAGGCCTGCCTGGCTGTTTGGGGTGTGTCCTGAGGAGTCTCAGGTCAGACTGGCTGTCTACAAGGGCCAGACCTCAGGGCTTGCCATAGGGCAGGCATCCTCAGGGCTTTTCTCTGTTCAGCCCTGGGAGTCTGAGGCTAGACTGCTTTAGGCTTTTCAAGAGTTCTTTCAGGCCGTAAACACTGCCTTCTCTGACCAGGTCACTTTGCCCTCTTCACAGAGGGCTCTTCATGGTTAGTCGGGGGCTGGCCTGGGCACCAGACCTGAACTCTATGAGAGGGAAGCAGTCTTCGGAGGCCTTTCACCGGTCTTTATTCTGTGGTAGCCCTGGGGCACGTGACAGTACTCATTGCCTCCAAGTTGAGTCTTGAGATTGGCCCAGGCTTATGAGAGGTTTCGGGGTAGAACCTAGGGAGTCTGGGGTCTGCCAAAATCTTATAGTAAAAAGATTTCAAAACGATTCCAATTTTACAAAAAAAAAAAGTTGTAAAATTATCTAAGGAACTCCAACACAGCCTTTACCAGTTACCAACATCTGCCACGCTACTCCTTGACCAAGTTACCAGGTACCGACACCTGCCACGCTGCTCCTTGACCTAGTTAC